CGTTCACTTCAGTTGTGCTATTTTTAGAGAACGCACCTATCGGAATTTGAGATGACATGAGACCATACTGCCGATAAGAGTCGTTGATTGGAAGACTTCTGGTAAATGAAGACTCCCCCTAACAATTGCAAGCGCTTGCGCATGCGCTTAGCGCTTAAAAATAGGGATGATTTGATTTCTAAAAATAGTACGAAATTAAATTGCCTCTGACCTATGATATAAGGGGAAAACGTGGTTAGCTTAAAACCTGTAAAATGTCTTTTGTCGTTTGCTAGTGCCAACAAAACCTTAACAAAATGGGGGTTGTCGCATAAAACATGATTTACTACAAAAAAGGAATTCCCAGTTTTCCAAAAAAATTTGCAAATGTAGTATCGTTTCCCCCGTTCTACATGTACTTATATATTATGGTTTTAGGAATCTTTTTATTAATAGAAAAAATATGTTGGATGATGAAAAAGTTGTTACTTTAATGTTATACTTATGCCCCCGTAAGCGACGTTTCGTGGGTAAATAGTTTTTTTTACCTGTCCCGTCTGTCTGTTTGTATATTTGTCTGCATAAATCTTGCCCATATCTTTAGACTGGGTGGGACTATGGCTTTCATATTTCACAGTTGTATTTTTATGTCAAGACCTTTATTGTGTACAACCAACTTGACCTTGTGACATTGATCTTGGAGTTTGAGACACTTTTACACCAAAATTTCACACTTTTACTTTAGCATTAACTTTTGGACGGTATGTGCTAGGATCTCATATCGAAGTAATGGCATGAACGACTAATAGAGTTAATTAATTTGGAAAGGTAATGTCTATAAAATCTTAGAAGAAAAGGGATGTAACAGCAACCATTGGCCAGGTGTTTGTGGGCTAAGTAGTGTTGAAATGTATGTAAAGTATTTTTTTTTAATTTATAGATATCTTTATTCACGCAGATGTAAATTTTTGAAAGTTTTGGAGGAATTTTAAATATTATTATAAGAACGTTCTCGATGTGTATAGAATTTTCTGTATGTACATGAAAAAAATTAGTACTTTTAAAAATTGTGCATTTAAAAGCATAATGCTTAACCCCGCTCCTTCAACTGGCGTTGGAATTTCATAAACATTATGGATTCTGTTGAAAATTACGCCAGACAATGGGCCAGATATGAAAATACAAGACGTTGACACTTTGTCAGAATAGATTAAATGTATCAGATTCATGTTTAAGTCGCATATTAAAAGATTGAGGGGCAATATGAAAAGAATCTATCCTTCTCTGTTCAATAACCCAGTAGTGAAAAAAGAATTAGATATATTACATGATCAGTACGTACTGGTCCCTACCGACGAAGCAGGTAACAATACTGTCTTCGTTTGTAAAGCTTATTATACAAATTGTATTTTAGAATAACTTTGATTTAATTCTACAAGTGGTAATTCTACTTATTCTTCCCTTTCTGAGGAAGAAATTCTTCAAAATCACATGTAAGTTTTGAATATTCCACGGAGCCAAAATGAGTTTGAACTACCCTATATATATTGGATTCCGAAACTTCATAAGAATCCTTTCAAACAAAGATACATTGCGGGTTCCAGTAAATGTTCAACCATGCCTCTTTCGTTACATCTCACTAAGATATTGACAAAAATGAAGGAAAAACTTCAAGAGTACTGTACAACAATATATTCAAGAAGTGGTGTGAATCAGATGTGGATACTCAAAAATTCTAAAGAACTTTTGGACAATTTGAAATCACAAGATTTTACCAAAATCAACAGCTTAAAAACGTACGACTTTTCAACTTTATACATAACCATTTCCCACGATAACTTAAAGTCCAGACTTTTTGATATCATTGACAGCTACTTTTTCAGTAAAGATAGATCTTACCTGGTAACTTGTCATTTGCAAATTTTTTTTTTGTTAAAACACACTCTGATTACACACACAAGTACTCTAAAGTTGACATCAAAAGATGCTTGAGTTTCTCATTGAAAAAATCTATGTGGTTTTGGAGACCATGTCTTCAAACAAGCTATTGGAATTTCCTTGGCTATCAATTGCGCTTCGTTATTAGCAGACCAATTTTGTGTATTCATATGAAGCAGAATTTGTGCAAGATTTTATGTGTGAATAGAAGAAAATACTTGCTGTGGCCTTCAACTCGACATTTAGATATATCGACGACGTATTGTCAATTAACAACGGTAATTTCCATCTCTACGTCGATACGATATATCCCGAAGAGCTTGAGATAAAAGATACCACAGAGTCTAACACATCTGTTTCAAACTTGGATATTTTACTTGAAAAGACGTTAATGGTAATCTTACAACCAAGCTATATGATAAAAGTGATGACTTTAACTTTCCTTTCGTCAATTTTCCTTACTCAAGCAGCAATAAACCTTCATCACCTGCATACGAAGTGTATGTATCTCAGTTGATTCGATACACAAAAGCATGATCTACGTATGAACCTTTTCTTAAACGAGGTAAATAATTGACAAGCAAGTTGATGAAACAAGAATATTCGAAATAAGTCATCATTTCGTAAATTCTATGGTGGATACAATAACCTTGTCAGCAAATACAATTTATCATTAAGTCAAATGCTGACTGACGTTTTTCGTGCTGATTGTAATTCCATTATTTTTACATTGAATAGACGACGGATTTTTCCGTTATTTCCCGATTATGACAAGGATCACACGGCGGGTGTGACCAGTCAGCAGGGGATGCTCACTCCTTCATGGCACCTGATCCCACCTCTGATGAAGGTCCGTGATTCCTCTGCTTCTATTTTGTATTGTTTTATGGACTTTGATATTGAATACTGTTCGTTATCTCCATATCCTTCTTCCATGTGTGGAGTCGTAGAATTACTGGTCTGGAATGTTTTTCTACAGTAAAAAAATGACCCTAGTTGTCGTAGAAAAATGACCCCCAGGTCAATATTCTACGGGGTCACTTTTCGGCGTTATACCGGCAACAAAGCTCGAAGAAGCTATTTTTAGAATATAGGTCACAGTCAAGTTCACAAGGTCATTGACCTTGGTGTCATTTGAAAGAACGTAATTAGTTAATTAAATATGAAGTCTCTATCTTCCATAGTTCCAAAGTAATGGCAGAAATTTGAAAAAGCTATTTTGAGAATATACATGTAAGTTAAAGTCAAGATCAAGGTCGAAAATTCAATGAGTGTCATTTGAAAAAGTTTTATTAGCGGAGAGGCATACTAAATATGACGTCTGTATCTCTCACGGTTCAAAAGTTATGGCGAAGATTAAAGTTGACAACAGACAGACGAACAGCTAAACAGACAAACAGACAAAAAGACAGACAGGACAAAAATAATAAACGCCCCGAATCTATCGATTCGGATGGATAAAAAGATTTAAAAAGAATATTCTAATACAATTGTTTGGTATAACACGTTTTGATTGGCTAATGCAATGATGTTTGAAGCAGTAAAACGAGCATAAACGTGAGTGTTAGCTTTTCATTGTGACGCCATAATAGAGCGACACAAAAGTACAATGTTCCGTTACGTATTTTATATAACGAAACTCACGCTTGCGCGTCGCCGATAAAACTCAGTTCGCAACCGTTAAATCAGCATAAATGGTCGTAAATACCGAATTAGTAGATAGTTATTCCCTGTTATACTTTCTCACCCGCTTTGAATTGCCATATATCTATTTATTAATGATGGGGTCAGATTAATATATAAAGATCTGACTGAGAGAAATTATAAAGGGATTACCGGGTATATTTCTCTACAAACAGAATATATATTGTGCACGTTGAGGATTACATGTATGTACAAGTGCACATTTTGGGTAGAAAACATATTTTTCTGTTGTTTAAAACACAAAATATCTCCTCTATCTTCTATTTGCATGATCTATGATATTTGAAAATTGACTTGTAAAACCTAACAAACAACAACAAACTTAGCTAAAAGCTACTTGATGAAATCGCATGTAAATTATAACAATTGAACAAAAAAAAAACACAACTTTTTATTATGCAAAAAACACACACTTTTTTGCAAAATAGAAAATACAGTAATATAAATAAAACTGCATACACATAAAATCCAGATTATATTTCAAACAATCATATATCAAACATGTCCTTATATCTTTTGGGGTAGTGGATAAAATTGCCATCGATTGAAGCTTCCATCTTGTATTGTGTTAAAAAGCTCTCTGCCTCACGGTTCAAACGGAGAAACGTAATGTAGTAGAAGCAACCATTTACTAGAAATGTGAATAAAACATAACATGGCAAATGATACTAAATTACACGTGAAGAGCATTCAAAGAATGAGCTATCTTTTGTTACTTAGCCAGGAGTTGTTATTGGTGCAAAATTTAATGTAAGTGGTTCAGGTAATAAGTTACTAATAAACTAAGACTGATGAGGAGAAAACAGGTTGAAGTTGGCAAGAAAATCGACAATTGTTAATCACAGTAAATAGGACGAATGATTTGTTTCTTAAATTCTTCCTCATACGAGTTATCGTTTACACATTAAGTTATTGTAATATTGTACGGACGAACATAACATTTTAATCGTGTAAACAATCCTTGATTTTGAGTTTTAAGATCTACTTTTTTATAAAAAATCAATTAAAACTTTTTGAATAAACATTAATAATAATAAATATTTTTGTATAAACATTGAACAATTTGAACATATTAAACAAACAATAAATCAATATATAAATATATCAATAAATAAATGTGATCCATGTTTCTTATAAAAAAAATAATTAAAACTTTTTTTAAGTACTAGTATGAGCATATTGAACAACACAAATATATTTCACAAAAAATTATTCAATAAATTAATACATATATTAATAAATAGAAATAATAATAATAATAATAATAATAATAATAATAATAATAAATCTAATATTTGATATATTCTATCCTTTTCAATTTTAATGTTAGAAGATAACTTTGACTTGAAACGACGGAATTTTACATGACTGTTGCTTTGTTAAATCTTATTTACAATTTATAAAATAATACTAAAAATGAAATAAAAAAAAAAAACAAAAGCAAAAAAAAAAAAAAAAAAATGTAAAGATCATATACATGTATTTACATTACAGATCAAGACAATAACTCCTGTTTCAGTAGTAAAACACTAAAGAAATAATACAAATCGGTGAGTGAATGCACGCTCCCATATCAAGTTATATTCAACTTAAGTTAAAGAAATTGGATTTGAACAAAACTGATTCCTACTGTAGGGCATGCTTAAAAATAAAAAGTGTGCTAATATTTTAAGCTTTTGCGACGAGCAGTTACTGAAAAAACTAGATCAACGAAAAATGGAACGACAGACACAAGAATCAACAGGAATTCGACAACAAATACGTACTCTGTACAAAAATAAATCCCACTTGATGAAATGCCTCAGTAAAAAATGTATAAAACATAATCCATATGCATTCAAGCATCTGCGATGAGTACTTTCTAAGAAAATTGCGACGGGAACTTCGTACAGACAGATGAACATGCATATAAAGGAATTTGATATTGGATTTGTACGAAAATGAATCCTTTTACATGTATATGGCAAGATTAAACAAAATTGTGTTAAAATTTCACAAGTATATAGGCAGAGAAAAAAACCTGTGACAAAAATGGGTTAGGGACAGTCTGACAGACAGGATGACAGCTAGCTATAGACAGACAGACAGACGGATGGCAACGCATACAGCCAGAGACGTATATGTATGGGAAAGCAACTATACAATCTTTTCCTCAGAGCATAGGTACAAATGCAAACGAGAAAAACATTTTTCATTTAATTCTAAAAAGCAGCATTTGAAAAGTTAAAAAAATCAAAGGCAATGTAAGGGATTAAAAATTCAGAAAAAAGAGCAAGTTTAAAGCAAGATTAAAGAGTTTAAAGCAGCTAAAAAATCAACATTTTCAGAATGTTATTCGTATGTCGGAAATACATCCAAACTAAATGCCCATTCTTCAAAAATCCAAGTACACACTTTGGAACCACAAGAATTATAAATGTATTGATCATAGTTAATAAGCTGGCTTATAAACTACAACAAGTTGCCGTCCCTTCAAAAAGGACTGCAATACGTGGACCATATGCATGTGGTTCTAACCGAAATTCAAGTAGACAAAATTTCTAGGTTAATTCCATCCTTTAGCCTCAGATTCAAGGGATGTGAATGCATAAGAATGTGTAAGGGCTATATACACAGTACATTAGACATATTTTCCATTTAATACTATTAGGATGTAAGAATGTCCTAATTTATAACCTTGACCCTCGTTTAGTCGTTATTTCCTTTTTAAAGTAATAAAAATCTTTTTTAAAAAATATCTACGAGGAAAAAAATCAATCTTCATTATATTTCTAATTATTTAATGGATCTTTCCACCGCAGTATTTATTGATATTCCTATAACTTGAGTTTTTATTTAAAAAAGTCGCTTGTCTCCATAGACTTCAATGCAATTTCTGTTAATTGATTTTTGCAAAGTTAATTCATTTTCGAAACTTTCTCTTGGTTAATCTTTTTCTACCTACTGTAAAATGCTTTGAATTAATATCAGAGTATTAAATTGGTAATAGATATTTAAGGATAGAAAATTAGGTCTTATTTGGGATACTTGAATATTCATGTAGATTCATTCACATTTCTACAATGATCTGTCCACTTTGATTGATAGTACTTTCCTAACAGAATTGTTGAATTTTATCTTTGATTAGCCTACAGTTTTGTCATTTCTGTATATCGGTTTATTTTCATACACATAACCCATTATGGTTGGGACTTGACATCTGGCCTGGATTTATACGGAATAAATCTGGCATTGGTAAATAGATCTGAGGGTCCATGTGAAGCACAGTACAGTAGTACGCATATTTTTTTTAGGTCCCTCCCATCCCCCACATGGAAACCACTGCTGCAGACATCCATCAAGGCGTATTTGGATTGCTGTATATAAAATTATTTTGCGAGCCTTGGTGCACCAAACTAATGCTATTGAAGATTCGCTACATCTTTAAAAGCTACAACTAGTCTTTGAATCAAGTTTTCTATTCAAATTGTTAATAAGTTATTTATGTACTGCTAGTTCTTCCTACTTTAAGATGCTTGTATATACACTGTAACAGTATATGTATAAGAGAGAAATACTGAGTTTCAATGAATATATATTAATTAATAAATAAATGCAGATTTAAAATCGAGATTTGCCAATGAACGGCATACTTTAGATCGAATAGGGCGAATTATTCTACGGGCAAGTTGTCTTAGAGGCCTGGCGTTTGCCATTGACATCCGGTCTAACTTCCCTCATATATTTTATGCGTGGACCTCAGGGTCAAAGCAATGATGTTTCGTACATATAAAGTAGTACATCCTAACAGACCAAAATAGGTAAGCACGAAATTTTCAAATTGTTGTCGATATAGGACCGGAAGCTATAAATATATTGCAGCTCCGTCAGGACAGGGATAAATAGAATTCACCTAGATATCCGCGAGACAAGTCTAGCCGCGGTATCCTGCACCTCCTCTAGGCGTACCTATTCAATCCAAAAAGATGAGAGGTAGTATAATTGAGCCTTGATTTAAATTGTGCATTGACAAGAAAACTTAAATTCCTTCGTAGTTATGAGATGATGGATGCATAAAAAATTACTTATGTGGGAAAATATTGTCTTCATAATAAATGGCATCTGATCCCCATTATGAGATGGGATTTCAAACAAGCACCAATGTTCTTGACGAGCGATGCAACTGAAATATTTTTTTCTAGTCTGAAAGTGTAAAGGTTGGTAAGTTCACTCTCCGAACAAAAGCTGTTACGTAATTTATAAGGAATTGACAAGTCGTTCTTCAGTGTGATGAAAGCTTAAAGTACAATGTAGAATCGTGAAATGAAAACCAGGAAAAATTCACACACTGCACATTCTTAAATTGTGTATTGTATTTCAATATAGAAATTGTTCCAGAGTCACTCAAATTACCTTGCTGCAGCTGCATCCTCTAAAGTGATAGTTTCCGGAGGCTTCGGGATATTATGGAATTCTCTAACTAAATGATGATACAGCATGTCTAATCTATTCGAATAGGCCAATGTCGAAACTGAATTTTTATTCTTTGTTACCTGTTTAAATAAATCTCTATTATGTTTTTCTAGCATTGTAACTATCGTTTTTGCCCTAAGTTGAATACTCTGATCTAGCTGTTCTTCTCTGCAGACAAGGCATGTAAAATGTGCAGCATTTAATCCAGTTTGCGTTAATTTCCCAACCATATCCTCAAATTCAGCGAGTATGTATTCGCACATCTTCACGTGTTTTTCTAGGCAGGCTAAATGTAATATTGTTAAGCCGTCGCTTGCTTCAGTCTCAACATTAAGACCCTTCGTTCTCAAAAACTTCAACAAACGAACGTTTCCACTTCTTGCCGTAAAATGACCTGCATGACGACCTTTCATATCAGTTAAAAAAATCAACTTCGGAACTTTTTCGAGAATTAATTGACATATGTTTATATTTCCTGCATTGCACGCAATATGAAGAATTGTACGTTTCTTTGCTGAAACGGCATCAAGATTCGCTCCTCTACATACAAGCTGTTGAAAAATATCACAATGTCCACTGTCAGCACAATAATGAATCGGTCTCCAATCACTTTCACCCAATGTTTCCATCAAATCAGGCGATTTATTGAGAATAAGTTTGCATGCCTCAGGTTGCTTATTTTTACAAGCAATGTGGAGGATGTTTTCATTGCTTTTATTTGTACCTTTCATGTTATAATTATGACCATAAAGATATTCTAGAAGCTTCACATTGCCATACCTTGCAGCGAAATGCATTGCATTTTCCTCTTCAAAATTTGGAAGATTGACCAATTCCCTATTTTCATTCACGCTTAAAATCTTCTCACACAATTCAGTGTTTCCTTGTTGAATAGCAATGTGGAGAACAGATAATTGGCCATGAGATGTCTGCTGTTTAATATCCATCCCTTTCTCAATCAGTCTGTAAAAAATATCTGTATTCCCTCCAAAGGCTGCAGCGTGCAACGCATTAAAACCCTCTGGGTCACTTTTATATAAAAGATTGATATTATTTTTCAATTCTCTTTCCAGGTAAAAATTAAAGTTTCTTATAATTCCTTCGCGGCATGCTCCATGTAAACCGTTTAACAATCTTGCGTTTTCTCCCCTGAATGTGTGCATTTCTGAAACTTGATAACAAACAGGTTTTTTATTTCATAATAAGTACGAGGGTTGATCCTAAAGTAATGTCACAACTTCGATAAAAATGCTACTAGTCGACGTAAATTAACGAAATTTCACATGATCGAAGCTATTTATATTTCAAATCAGTCCTGAAAAATTCAAATTAAAATGATGTATACTTTTCAAAATATCGAATTATATACAAAGTGCAATTATGGTAGTCGCCGCACCAAAATAACGTCATAATTATGATGGATACGCGGCGTCATACACTTAAACGCTTCCCCTTCGTTTCATTAAAAATATTTGAGATTCACGAACACATTCACATATATTTCTCTTTTTAAAAGAATTAATGGCACCCATTGTAAACTCAGTCCATACATAATTTAGTCATCTGTCAAAATTTTTTGAACAGTACCATAAGAAAAACTCAAAGTTTCTCATATCGCTCTAAACGTCTCTCATTTTGGACAACGTCAGACACTATTTCAAGAACGTTTCCGCCCGACCTCCTTTTTCGGTCTTTCTGTCCGCTGCTGATCATTCAGTGACCCATGATCCGATAAAAATCGCTGAAACCATCTATAAACAAGTTTCTTATTCACATTCTATCATCTGTGTGTCTGATTATCATTGTCACTGTTTTTACGGGCGATTTCCCAATTTTGAAGCAAAAACGCATCACAGATTGTTTCAGCGGTTTTTTCTCCATTTTGACATTTCTAGTGTTCAATCCAACAGATTAAAACAACTATGTTTATGATCAAAAAGCAATGACGTCATTTTATTTTCAACTTAAGACTAGAAAATGTCGTAAAATTTTGTCTTTTAAAATATTGGAAGATAGGATGTTTTTTAAAATGCTTTTTAATGTGTTTGTCTTCTTTCATTCTAAAAATTTACAATTTAAAACGTTACGTTTAGTTGTGACGCGGCGACACCCCTTATGTTTAATATTTTAAACGTCTATAAAATTAATTCAAGTAAACATTATTAAATGAAATTTTCAATTTTTATTAGAATTATTTTTATGCATCTTTTGGTATATTATTTTTGATTATATGATGCCAAATATTAAAGATATTGACACAGTGACATTACTTTTGGATCAACCCTCGTATATATATTAATATGCATTAAAATATTGTATACATTAGACATATTTACTATAGTTCCGTCTGTTGATCGTGTTTGTTCAATAAACATACAAAACCCTTGGACTGCATTAAAATGATAATACTATATTCCTGTAATAAGATTTATGATGTCCATTTATCATAAGGTGCTTTTTATTATACTGATACGCAAAAGAAAAACATCACTCAATACCGTTTATCTTCAAACATGTGATTTCTTTAATTTATGATTTTTGAAAATACATGAAGGTTAATCTCGATTAAAAACCTTAGGAAATTTGATAAAATGTAAAACACATGTAGGTCCTAATTTAATTATAACATATATATAATGTTTCCCCATAAAATAAAATATTGCATTTCTGTTGCGTTCAGATATATTATATAAAATGTGCCTTTGTCATCTCATTATAAGTGAAAAATTCTCAAGGAAAATTAACAAGAGGCCCATGGGCCACATCGCATACCTGAGCAACTAACAAAAGCAAATTTCAGTTCAGTATTGAAAAGTTTGAATATATAATAAATGTGGGTTTGAAGGAGGAGGAGTGAAGAGTTGAGGGGATTGTATTTGAACAAAGGTAACTTAAATACACTTCCTAAAATTGCTTTTGAATTAATTTTGCACAAAATGGCTTTGTTGTTCATTGTTATGACCCATTTTAATGATGCTTTTAAATTGACGATTATTCATGGCTTTGTTATGAATTTTATTGATCATTCCCATGTCGCCGCTGCCGCTTTCCCTTGACATCTGTGGATGTCGTTGGTACACCTTTAAAGCCCTATTCACCACTTTTATCCATAAATTTTTGTTTTTTGTAGCTATCAGGGTTTCTGTGAGGCTTAGTTCCATGCACTCAGGGATGTGAGTATTCAATGTATTCCAATGTATTCAATGCAAAGCTAAGATACCCCATTTTTGCCCCTCCGGGAATCATGATTTGAACAAAATTAAATCAAAACTATCCGAGGATGCTACCATATATTACAGGTGCCTTTGACCAATCACAATTTTTTTTTCTAAAGAAGAAGAATCTAAAGATTTTCAATCTATATTATCTCAGTTTGATCACCCATAATGGCCCCACCCTTTCCCCAAGGGGTATGATTTAAAAAAAAACTTCGCTTCCAGAGGTTGCTTCCATATAACTATGACCAATTATGGCTTTTCTGTTCTAGAGAGAAAAATTTCAAGACTTTTCCTATGTTAAACTTTGATCGCCCATTGTGCCCCCTACCCCGGGGTCATGATTTGAACAAACTTTAATCTACACTTTCTGAAGATGCCTCTAATTCATCATACCTATGATCAATCACAGCTTTGTGCTATCTTGGAGTAAAAGATTATTCAGTTTTTTTTTCTATGTATTCCTATGTTAAATTTGATACCCCAATGTGGGATCACCTTACCCCCACGTGTGATGATTTGAACAAACTGAAATCTTCTCTACCAGAGAATGCTTCTACATATTTTCATTTTTTCCTGGCCCACTGGTTCTTGAGAAGAGGATTTTAAAAGATTTTTCCTATATATTCCTATGTTAAACTTTGATACCCCATTGTGGTCCCTACCTACCCCGGGGTCATGATATGAAGAAACTTGAATCTACTGTACATGAGGATGCTTCCACATAAGTTTTATCTTTCCTGGCCCACTTGTTCTTAAGAAAAAGATTTTTAATTTTCAATTAATTTTTCACTAATTCACATTATCGGCCCTTGGAAGAGTGCGTGCATGGCACTTCATTTGAACAAACTTGAATTCCCTTCACCAAAGGATACTTTATGGCAAGTCCGGTTGAAATTGGCCCAGTGGGTCTTCAGAAAAAGATAAAATGTGAAAAGTTAAGGACAACGACGACGACAACGACGACAACAACTACGACAGACAACAGACACATTTTGATCAGAAAAGCTCACTTAAGCATTCGTCCCAGGTGAGCTTAAACACAAACAAACTATAACTTATTATATCTCTTACCTGTCCTATCGTATTTTCTTAGCTTAAAAAAATGAAATAAAACATTTTATCACATCTTGATTAGATAAACATTGTTTAAGTGACAATATGAGTTATTTTAGTAATTTTTATGCAATAGTTAAAAGATAGATAGAAAGCTACCTTCGGAGGCCATTTTAGTTCTTCAGCATTAATCTCATGAGTAGGTATGCAGGTTTCACATAACCTGTCTTCTAAGGCGTCCTCCTCGAAAAATGACATGTCATTTTTGTCACAAAACGTGCTTTGAATACACTTATATCCAACGGATATATGCCTTTCCTTAAAATGACTCTCCAAAATTGAATAAACTGTGCTTCGGACATCTGATTGAATCATTTCCTCTACCGAATCTCCTTTGAAAACGAATAATTGTAACTGAATTTGATTTCTGCAGATACAAATAGCTATGATATAGAGCTTGTATTTAAAGAAAGCAGCATTGTGATATATACACTCTTCTTGAGCATGAACGAAAATTTTCCAATGCTGAAGACATCTGATAATAAGTCGATGGAATTCAAATGTCGATATCTCACTCATTGAGAAACAAAGAATTGACGATTTTCTACACTTGTCAAAAATTGCTAAGTTTAAAGTCCGTTTATTTATGCACGGAACTAGATACCGCAATTTTTCTTCGTCTCCACTTCTAACTGCTATCAGTCCTAATCTCTGCATATACTGAAGCAACTTTTCTTCATGACTCGTAAATAATACTTTTTCACTTTGTTTTTCCCATATTTTTATAAGAAGTTCGTGACTTATTTCGCCAGTTTTACGAAATTTTGTAAATTCACCAAAAAAATCATCACTTCTTGCCAAAGTGTTATCGGAGAGAATTGTCTTAAAAGCGTCAACAAACCATTGCACATCAAGAATTACAATATCGTTCAATTCTTCCTCTGGAAAATACAACACTGAACAAACAGAATGAAGAAACAATAAAAAGTCATTCATTCCATCTTTGTCTATCTGAAATTCTGTCGGTAACTGGCCTCCTTGTATCAACAGTTTTTCTTTTTCAATAACTTTTTTGCTACTTTGCAATTCCTTTATGATATATTCCCAAAAAATCCAAGAAGATGGTACCTCATCACCCCATTGCTGCTGCTCTTTCACCAGTTTAACAATGCACGATTCAATATCATCCAATTTTTCTAGACTCTCATTTTTCGATGTCGGGAATTTTACCGCAAATTTTCTCTCGTGAGATAAGTGAGAACGAAGTTCTTTCATTGTTTCCATTCTTTTCCAGAAATCATCAAAGAAGGCTTCGATATCCTGAAATTTTTTTCCAGAATAATCATATCTGCGATAATGGAGAGAAATATAATTGCATGAACCATAAACGAGCAATATCTATTTTTTTTTTACCAGTCACGGTGGCCTAGTGATAGAGCGTTTGCTTCGTGATCGGGAGGCCCGGGTTCGATTCTCGTTCGCGGCGCCGCGTCATACCTAAGACGTAAACAAAGATAGTGACTGTTCCTTCGCCAAGCGCTCGGCACTAGAAGTGAAAGTCACGGGTCTTTCGGAAATGACCTTTAAAACGTAGGTCCCGTGTCACGGTCGGCGCTGGCACGATAAAGAACCCTCACTGCTCAATGGCCCTGAGTGCCGATAAATAGGTCTAAATTTGAAGCCCTTCACTGGCATACGGTGACGTCTCCATATGAGTGAAAAATTCTCAAGAGGGACGTTTAACAATATACAATCAATCAATCTATTTTTTTTTAATGTTATAGTCTGCATGCAATATTGTATAGTTTAATTAGTGTTTTGAAATAGTGTAAGTAATATTTTTACAGGTTAAAACTGTTGACATTAATGATAATTATGATCGATTTTTTTGTGGTCTTGCTATTAATATTATCTGGTAATTTGTTTGTAAGATTTGCATTTACTAAGTAAATAAAGATTAAGTTATTTGTAGCTACAGAAAACATCGGACTGTATGACCTTAAATTCTATGGTTCATTGCACCACACATATAGTTCGATAGGGTTACCTGGTTTGGTGGGGTTTTCACTTTCCCGGTGACACAAGTTCGTGCTACACGTATACGTAGTTGCCAGGGCAGGGTCAGCTATTGCTTTGATATATTTTATTTACCTATTCATATCTACTGGAATTTGAAGGTAATTATTCTTTTAGTTTAATGTAGGTGTATTTTCTAAAAGTATTTATTTACGTAATTTCGTCATTTTCATGACTTAGAAGTTTGAAAATAAGCGTAATATTGATTAATTGTACTCAGATAATTTTACATGTAGTATGTTTTCAACTATTTATTATCTTTTAAAGATTTCAAGTGTTATATATATGAGAAAGTAAATTTTTATGGTTCTGAACAAATTTAAAATCCATTGTAAACTAAACAGACCCTATGTTTTATATATAGGATACTATGTACTATTGTCATAATGGCTATATCCAAGTGTATTTGGTGAAACATTTACACCTCATGTGAGGTAAGATTGATTGTGTGTATATTTTTATTTTGACAATGTCTTTATGTATGCTCTGCATGTTTCATGTTGTGGACGTACTATTTTCTTTTATGTTTGTTTTATTTGCATTTTGTTTCGTTTTATTTCGTTTGTAGAGAATTTGTATATTAATTATTATTTACTTTATTAAAGATTGTCAGAAATAGCTTTTTTTCACAATTAAGGTGTTAAATGATTTTTTAAAAATAAATAATTGTTAACAGCAGCAAGTGAATTGTAAAGTAAAGTAATTCTTGGCTAAAGATTACGGTATAAGTATTGCATTTTATTCTGTTATTAATTTCACTATTTTATTCACAGCTTTTTCATGTACCATTAATTGAATAAATCCTATCAACTTTCCAAAATACGGACTCATTTCATCTTCACCGGACATCCGGTTACATAAATATTAATTATTGGTAATAGCTTTGTATTTATTTGATACATTATACCAGATAATGATAACACAATCCAGAGTTCTTTGATGTTTTAAAAATGATACATCTAACTATTCAGTACTTTCACTTTTTTATTCCACACTTTCAGATAAGAATTTTCCTCTATTCGAACATTTAATTCCAATTTTCCTTCACATTTTCCTCCTTTATGAGTTGTATTCCATTTATATTGCATAAAAGTTGTTTTATGATTTAAACGAAAGAAAAAGAGTCTTCCGGTTCCCTAGTTATTCTAATAAATATTTATATCATCACTGACAATTTTCATTTATGTTGCTGCGAACGAAGTTGGGCTATAAATTACTTTTGCATGGGCTATTCTTGATAATCTGTTCTATGAATCTCTGCGTGAGTAAATAACCAAAACTAAATATTAAAAAATGTAACAAAAGACTTGAAATAACTTAATCTACATGTACAGTGGAGAACAGCCACAGCCTAAAAAGAAATGGACTCAGTCCGAACCTGGGTTTGTTTTCTGTGTTAGGAAATAACTTTTCAAGGTAGTAAATACTACATATAGTAAATGGACTTTTCAGTGGGGTCCGGCTTTTGTGGTAAGCCTTAGCTTTAATACGTAGATCATGTAACTATTTAACAAATTCATGGTATTTTGATAAACAGAATTCTTAATATGAAAGGAAATGATGTTTTCTAATACACTTTAAAATTCGAATACTTTTCGTTATCTCCTTATTTCTTGTTTATGCATTGTCTTTTATTTTATATATTTTATGTTAAAACTTACGTCCTTTGATTTCTCCTCCGCATGTGTGGCGACCAGAATAACAGGCGCCTCCTTCGAGACAGCATGAATCGATTTAAGCCAAAAGATATAGTACTCTATCAAAAGTAAGTATACATCATTTTGAGAAAAAAAAACCCATTATAATTGATTGAAAAAAATGTTAAGAAAATGTTGCACAAACTACGAAATATAATTTGATTTTACCAAAGAATGTCATATGTGCAAACTCTATTTCTTCTTCAGTAGACTCAGTCTTGTGCACTTTCTCGTCAAATGTCTTGGAAATATCAACTACTAAAATATAAAAGGCTTCTGGTCTCATGTAAATTTGATGACTTGCATAAAAAACATACTGGCCACCAAAGTCGAAGAAGCTTATAATGTTATTATAGGACTCGTTTTTTTCCACTGATCTTACAGCCTCCATTATGTTATCTAATTTCACTTTTGGGATAAGACTATCATCTTTGGTTTTGTTCTGACAATGCTGTTCACTTTGATTTATGTTTCTAATTAATGGTGCATGTTCATCTTCATCTACACATTCAATAATATCTTCAATTCCACCATCAAAAGTGACCTTTGTCGGCGTGAGGGTGACCGTCTTTTCCTTTTCGGGTCGTTCGAGATTGACTGTAGTTTTCTCTTGGGGTTGTGTTGTAAGCCGAGATTCATGAATTGCATCTTCTCTATTATCACTAGGACCAGCTTCTTTGATACATGTTGTCTCATTATCAAATACCAAATTCTTTGAACACGCAAAATATGAATGATAGTCGCCACTGCTCCTTCGAGGTTGGACTGTAATTATTAGCAAACTTAATAGTAGTTTTAAAGCCTGATTTTCGTTAAATAAATTATTGAATTAAAGTAAAAAAAATCCGTACCTTTTAAATGATTTGATGCGGGATCAATGGAAAATTCATCCACATACACGTCCATTAATTCTGTTGATGGGACATTAAGGTTTGAGATTTCTTTGAAAGTACATTTTCGTAGTCTCATAAGCAGTGTTGTTTTTCCGGCTCCTGTGCATCCCACTAATATTCCCGTTGAGTGATATACTTTAATTTTAGCTCCATTTTTCCAAGCATTTCCCCATTGCTCTTGCAGATTTTTAATTTTTCCTGAAAGATTGTTGATGTCATTTAAAAAAAAATAATTTTGTTGAGTTTGAACACGATACATATATAAGTGAGATACAGTTCAACCGAGAAGGTCGAGAGTTCAATCCCGGGCTGGGGCGGAAGTGGGTATCCATGTAAAAGTGAATTCTTTGTGCTTTCTGTATTAATACTTCTTCACTTAGGGCAGTTATGTTAGTTTCAGAGTTGTTGTAAAATGTGCTTTATAAATAATAATTAAATATCATTACAACATGTATTGGTAACAATCCTCTGTTAAAACTAATGTCCAACTAACTGTATCTCACTTCTATTCTCAAAGGCCGTGTAGTGTAGGGCAGCGCCGCGAGAATTCCATTGGCGTTGAAAGCAAGATTTTTGACTTGCCTAGATAGCCGAGCGGTCTAGCTCGCTGTTCCTGCACTGCTAGGAGACAGATTTCTAAGGTCGAGAGTTCAACCCCGGGCTGGGGCGGAAGTGGGTATCCATGTAAAAGTGAGGGTGTGTGTGTGTGTGAGGGAGAGGGTGTGTGTTTATTCATTTCAAAAGTTTATATACTGTAATATATCTATTAAATGAAAATGATATTCTGTCAGTCTCAAAAAAGAGTCTATCAGTGCAGTGAAATATTCTGATCTTTTTATTTGGTTATATATACTTACTTTCTCTAAGTTCTATAGCTCTTTGTCGTCTTATATCTAAGACAACTAATAACAGTAGACTGATGACAGGTATAAAGGCTATCACAATTTCAATGAAATACGTCACAATAGAATCTTCCTCCTCGTGAATATCAAAGTTTTTGTTATTAAGCGAACCAGGATTGCTGAAGAGACAAAAATAAGAATTCATTTTACAAAATCCTTATTCTAATTTTCGTATCAAGCTCAAAACATATTTAAAGATAATTAAAAAAATAAGGAAAAATTACGCACGTAGTAGAATCTGGGCATTGTTTTTCAGCAGAAAAGCAATGCTCCTTCTTGTTGATAATTAAACATTCAGGATCTAAAATGATTAAAAAAGTTAGATGTAGTTGTCGAGTATTATGTTTTAATTGTTTTTTAATTTTAGTTAGTCGATTACTATTTTCACTTGACTGTATATACATGTATCAGGCAAGGTTTAAGTCGATTCCTATAATCGACAAAAAAAAACTTCAAAAAGAAGCATATACATTAATGAAAACTGATTTAGTGTTAACACAGTGTGGCTCAACCATACTTACAATTATAAATTTCTTCATCGATATATGATACATTGGGACAACCATATAGGAAACGCTCTTCACAGTTGTAATGATTCAGATACCCTGATCCTTCAAGTCTCACACAGTTACCTTAATTTTAAATGTTAAATCCTTTAAATCATATGGCTTTCTAAACTACACTTTAATTTATAATTAGGATAATAATAATAAACAAATTATATTTTTATTTCAATACGTTGAATCTTTTCATTGTAAAATTTTGCTTTATGAAATATTACTATTATTTGTATATTTGTGTTTTCCATTTTATCGAAAACGAGCAACATATTAAATACCTTCTTGAAATCGAGACTTTTTGATATCAGTACAGAATTCAATCAATGATGAAAGGTATCTATTTGGAGCACATAAAAATCTGGTTCCGGTTGAACATTTCCTTCTCTCGGATGCCAAGTTAAATTCGCTTTTGTTCATTGGACATTTATCGACAGGATACACTTCAAAACGATATTCTTGTGCCTTTAAACACAAAAATACACAAAATTAGAAATATACAGTGAAAAATGCAGGATCGTTGAATTGTTTTTGAAAATGGAAGGGGGGGGGGGCAAGAAAATATTGTATGTTAAACATTGCAATATTCCATATTTTTATTATCTCACCTGAGCCGAAGGCTCAAGTGAGCTTTTCTGATCACATTTTGTTCGGCGTCCGTCTGTTCGTCTGTCTGTCTGTAAACTTTTCACATTTTCGACTTCTTCTCAAGAACCGCTTCAACCAAACTTGCCACAAAGTATCCTTGGGTGATGGGGATTCAAGTTTGTTCAAATGAAGGGCCACGCCCTCATTCAAGGGGAGATAATTGGGAATTAATGAAAATTTAGTGGCATATTTTAAAAATCTTCTTCTCAAGAACCACTGTGCCAGGAAAGATGAAACTTATGGGGAAACATCCTCAGGTAGTGTAGATTCAAGTTTGTTCAAATCATGACCCCCCGGGGTAGGGCAGGGCCAAAATGGCCGACCAAAGTTTTACATAGAAATATATGGGAAAATTCTTTAAAAATCTTCTTCTCAAGAATGACAAAGCCATAATTTATCATATTTATATGGGAGCATGCTCAGGTAGTGTAGATTCAAGTTTGTTCAAATCATGACCCCCAGGGGTAGGGCGGGGCCAAAATGGCCGACCAAAGTTTTACATAGAAATATATAGGAAAATTCTTTAAAAATCTTCTCAAGAATGACAAAGCCATAATTCATCATATTTATATGGAAACATGTTCAGGTAGTGTAGATTCAAGTTTGTTCAAATCATGACCCCCAGGGGTAGGGCGGGGCCAAAATGGCCTACCAAAGTTTTACATAGAAATATATAGGAAAATTCTTTAAAAATCTTTTTTTCAAGAATGACAAAGCCATAATTCATCATATTTATATGGAAACATGTTCAGGTAGTGTAGTTTTAAGTTTGTTCAAATTATGACCCCCAGGGGTAGAGCAGGGCCAAAATGGCCGACCAAAGTTTTACATAGAAATATATAGGAAAATTCTTTAAAAATCTTCTTCTCAAGAATGACAAAGCCATAATTCATCATATTTATATGGAAGCATGCTCAGGTAGTGTAGATTCAAATTTGTTCAAATCATGACCCCCAGGGGTAGGGCGGGGCCAAAATGGCCGACCAAAGTTTTACATAGAAATATATAGGAACATTCTTTAAAAATCTTTTTTTCAAGAATGACAAATACATAATTCATCATATTTATATGGAAGCATGCTCAAGTAGTGTAGATTCAATTTTTTTCAAATCATGACCCTCAGGGGTAGGGCGGGGCCAAAATGGCCGACCAAAGTTTTAAAAGATATATATAGGAAAATTCTTTAAAAGTCATTTTCTAAAAAATAGCAAATCCATGATTGGTCATGGGACTACTTTTGGATTTAAACTTTACAATAAAAAGCGATTTTCTACTTTTTCCTACCCTTAGTGCTCAGGTGAGCGATGTGGCCCATGGGCCTCTTGTTTTGTATTGTATGATTTTTTATTTGTATTGTAAAATATTTCAATTGCATTGTTAAATTTTTCATTTATATTGTTAAAAAGATCATTTGTATTTTGTGATTTTTTATTTGAATTTTATATTTTCATATGTATTGAAAAGTTTTTATTTGTATTGTTTATTTTCAATTTGTTTTGTATGAGTTTTTATTTGCATTGTAAATTTTTTCATTTTTTGTTCAATTATATATTTATAAAAAAACACCATTTGTTTTGTATATTTTTTATTTGTATTCTAATTTTCCATTTGTATTGTATGATTTAGTTATTGTAGTCGAGAGATTTGTTTCGTTACAAGCGATATCATTTGTAAAATTCTATATCCAGAGTTGTCGTTCTCGCTACGCTCCAAGATACACTTCTGTCAACGCTTGTTTTACAAGATTTTTAGAAAAATTGTAAAAGATTAAAACTTGTATTAATAATTGTTTGTAATCATATTTCTTATCAGAAAACATTTTTTTTTATTTTAATCTATTACACATTAAATTTTTTAATTCAGATTTTCATTTTTACTCTGCAAAATGGTTCCCTTAAAACTTTGAAAATATATCATTTTGAGCCCCAGAGGGATTATAAATAAATGATGATTATCATCTGCATCGAAAATTACAATAATTAAATACTATTTAAACTTCAGATTTCCACCATTTCAAATTTGTGCAAGAATCTTGTACAACGAGCGTTGACAGAGGTGTATGTGGAAGCGTAGCGGGAATGACAACTCTGGATAGAGTTGTAGCGTACCGGAAACGACAACATTGGATATAAAATTTTAAATGCTCAGATAACACGTGAAAACGTTCCGGAACATCTCGGGCATTACCAAACTTCGATATATGATTAGATTAAATCAATGAAATCCTTCGTAACAAACCAAAATAAACAATCGCTCGGATACAATGCAAATAAAAAAATATACAATTCAAATAGAAAATATAGAATACAAATGAAAAAATTACAATAATTTTTTTTTACTATATGAATGAAAAGTTTACAATGGAAATAAAAAATATACAATACAAATGGCAAATTTATAATGCAAATGAAAAATTATACAAGTATACGAATGGAAAAATATAGAATACAAATCGAAAATTATACAATGCAAATAAAAATTACACAAAACAAATGGAAAATCATAGAATACAAATAAAAGTCATACAATACAAATGGAAAATTTTTCAATACAAATGGAAAAAAATCGCATATTGCAACGTTTGACTTGCCATAAGAAAAAGTACAATTTGGTTAATTTCGCCCAAACTAAAAAATCTTGTTTCGTTTGTGAAGATGTTTCCCTATAATTCACTTCTTACCGAATTTCTAAAAGCACCTTCAAATATTTGCAAGAACAAAAAAGATAGGTATTAACAAATTGAACACACGCGTGAAACGTAATTGTTTTTGAAAACAGGTCTAGAACTTAATTATTGTTAATGTTCACCGTTTAACCGGGCGTATTCAATTTTTTAAAAGTGAACACATCACTGAGCACCGGTAGACAACACCGGTGAACAGTTTTTTTTTTGCCTTCGTTTTTGCTTATTTGCTTCAACTCTGAATTTTATGGACTATTGTTTGAATATAGTTTATCAATACACAACAAAATTTTTACTTTTCTTAAGTATTAAGGATAACGATTGCTTTATGACGTGCAAGGATGAATCAATCAAACGCGTTCCAAAATTCAAACTTTCAATAATTTTCACATAAAGTAAGCTTTTGTTATAATTCCATTTGATAGAAACATAGAACTAATAAATTTATTCCGAAAACTTGCTGGACTTTGCTTTGGACACACTGGGACCCAAGACCCCCTGCCTGAACCAAGTTATCCACACCATCCCCCATCTCAAATTTATACCCGCCCATGATATTTTTCCCTATTTTAAATAATGATTTGAAGATTCTATCCTCATTTGCCATTTCATCTTGCTAAAAACCCCACAGACCAATTTTGGAGAACATGCATCTAGATTATTTCAGCAATGAATCATTATTTTTTTTTAGAAAGATATAGTCTCATAACTGCAACAGCGCGCTAACACGCGTTACTCAATTTGTTTGCACATTCTCTGCCTAGACTGGAATTGTGATTTATATTTAATTTAAATTCCAAGTGTTATCCTTCGTGTAAGCTATTATTGAAGGAAGAGCTATGGTAGCAGATTCTAGTCTTTATGACCGTGATTTTTTTTATTTTCATCAATAACTTTGCACTTTCTTGGCGTAAAACGTTTGTGACATCAAAATAAAACGCATGCTTTAATCCTTTTACACCCCTATCCGTGTAATGGTGTTTTGAATGTCATTAATGTACATTCACTTCATGTTTAAAATAAACCTATAATATTACATGTAAGATGTCTGCATACAGACATGAGAGATTCTATTCAATTTAAGAGATAACTTTTATTCAGACCGTGGCCTGCGTAGCACAGTGGTTTAAGCATCTGCTCAAGAGTTTATCCTTACGTTGCGGGTTCGAATCCCACTGTGGGACGTGGAGACCAATCCTTCGGACGGGACCGTATAAACCAAGTTCCTGTGTCGCAGTAGGTACTGGCACGAAAAAAAAAATCCCTTTCTGCTCAACGGCCCTAATTGTCGAGTATTGGACAAAGTTTGCAGCTCTCCACCGGCAAATAGAATATATATATATATTCTATTGGCGTCTGCATATGAGTGAATAATTCTCGAGAGTGACTTTCAGCAATACACAACCAGTCTATCAATTTCTTCAGACAAATATTTTCAAATATTTGTTTTCTTTTATTTTCATTTAAAAATGATTTCCAATTGTGTTTCAACCTCTTCCATTGAGATCTTCACTCTTTGAGTAAGGAAAAGGTATGTATATTGTATTATCGAGCCTTACGTACTAGAGAATGATATCTTAGCTTTGTTTACAATTCCTTGATCTTCAAAGAATACAAGCTCTTTCCGAGGGCATTGATTTTATTAAAACTTCTCGAGATTTCCTGTTACATAATATTTTAGACAAATCATAAATAGGCCGTGCTAAACCTTAGATAATTTTTTATTGATTTTTTTAGGCACATCCCATTCAATACTAAAAAGCATGCTCAAGATCCAAGTGCAAAAAACTGCATTTGTAAGAAAGTAGGGCACCCATCGGATAGAAATATTGTTATATTCATATTCTGTAATATTATATGATTATGATGTTGAAATGTTTAATGTCTTCGTAATGTCATTCATTGTAAATCTGTCATTGCTCGCAACTTCGATAAGCCTTCGTGTCCTTACATATTTCAGTCGATCAGTTTATCTGTAGTATTTGATTCTCCTTTTTTGGCTCTTGAGTGTCTGAATCAATCAATTACAAAACTATGCAGCGTTAAATGCTGTTCTTGTCGCATATTAAACTCAAATTGTTAAGATAGATCCTTCGGTGGTAATTGAAGTGGCACATTTTGTTTTCATTCTTTA